TTTAGATTTATTTCCGTCACTTTCCCATTTGCAATAGAAATAGCTTGATTCTTTTGAAGGATGTCTCTGAATATTCTGATAGTTTCTCCGTATATAATTTATTAAATTCTTTTACCTTATAAATATTATTAATATTAAATATTAATGCTTCTAAATTATATCAATTAATGCTAAGCTATATTATAGTCTTTTATCATTTTTATGGATTTAAACATTTATCAATTAATGTTACTAATGTGTTTTGTTGCTCCAACTTATTACTAAAATTTTATGCAGTTGCTTTAATTTATATGGTGTCAATAATTTTTAAGCTATAATATTTTTTAAATTTTTATTCCTTAACCGGATATTTTTAATCAATTCTTATTACTTTTGTTTACCATTATCAACTTAGACTATCTTTAGATGCTGTAAATTGATTGTTTGGTTTGTAAATGTAACTTTAATTGTTTGTTTGGAAAGTGTAAAAAGTGGTCCCTGCTCAAATGATCATATTGGTTGGAATTATTTTTTATTATTTTTTCCTGACTTCAATGTCAGCTTTCTCCTAAAATCATGTCCTTTTTTTATGAAATAACTTTACAAGTCACATCAGCATATGAAATCACTTTATACTATTTTCACAACTACAAACAAACAATCGAAAGTGATGAAAGCTGACATTGGGACCCACTTTTTTACACTTTCCATCCTTTTACACTATATATATATATATATATATATATATTAATGAAAGAATGCCTAACAATTACACTTTTCTTTACCAAGTTTTAAAATTATAGCCCTTTTTTGTAGTTTTGAACTTTGAGGGTGTGATTTGTAATTTTTAAAACTTTGGAATGATTTTTAAAAAATTACTTTTAAGTTTAGTAGTTGTAACTTCTATGTTTCATGTGTTGGTGGTAATTTTTAAATAGCACGATATCTTTTACAACTCTAAAATTTTGAGGCTGTTTTTACAATTGTTAAAACTATAGATTAATTTTTAAAAATTTTAAATTTTAGCGGTCTATCAATAGTTTCCAGATTTGATGTGTACTGGTTACAAATTTTAAAAAAATAGAGTTTTTTTACGATTTTTAAATTTTAAAAGAGTTTTTTCTACAACTTTTGTAACTTTGAGGTTAATTTCGGTAATATTAAATTTTTAGGTGCATGAGAGTAATCTCTTGAATTCATCTTTTGTTGTTCGCAAAATTTAAATTTTTTTAGAATTTTAGAGTTTTTTTCTATAATTTAAACTTTTGAGGGTATTTTTATAATTTTTGGGAAATTGAGGGTGCTAATTAAAAATTTTAAATTCTTCGGAGGCTGCTATTAAGTTCTTGATTTCATGTTTGTTATTTTAAGTTTTTAAATATCAGTAATTTTTAGGTGCATTATGGTAATCCTTTGAATTCATCTATGTTATTTGTAATTTTTAAAATTTTAGAATTTCAAGTGCTTGTTTGTAATTTAAACTTTTGATGGTGTTTCTATACTTTTTGAGATATTGAGATGTTAACTGCAAATTTTAATTTCTTCACAAACTGCTATTAATATATTGATTTCATGTTTGTTATTTTAAGTTTTTAGACGTCAGGATAGTTTTTATAATTTTCAATTTTTAGGGTATTTGTGCAAATTTAAAACTTTTTAGATCTTTTTGCAATACTTTATGTATTGTAGTACATCAATTACGTATAATTTCTTTATCTTAACAAACTAATACCATAAAGATGTTTTATATATTTTATTAATATTATTTTTTTAAATCGTTAAGTTATAGATAGTTCACGTAGGATTATGATAGGATATAAATATGATTAGGATAGATTAAGATATAAATAAAATATTTAAAATAGTGAAGAATAATATTGACCATAAAAAGATTTTCCTGAACTTGTGCGTTTAAAGGGGAGTATGATAAAGTGTTGATAGTTTTTAATGTCATAAATGAATATGATTAATGATGTATGTTAAACTCTTTTGCTTATTAATTATCCATTTAAGATTTAATCACTTATAATTTATATTATTGCTTATGTGTTTAACTCACATATATATATTTTGTACTTAAGTTCTATACAAATTCTGAGAGAGTCTTAAATCAGTTTTTAACCAAATATTCATATTAAAGATTTGTACACCATGATTACAAGGGAATAAATTTTAATTATAGTCAACTGATAATTAAAAATTATTTTTTAGACAAATAAAAGTATTTTTTAACCAAATAAAAGGATGTCCTTAATTAATCAATTTATTAATCATAAAGTATAATTTATTAATAAAATAAATATATTTTAATATTCATGAACATCTAACAAATACCAAATATTCAAATTCAAATATGAATTCTAGAAAATCTAAAAAGAAATGTTTGAATTTTGATCAAATTTAAAAATTATAAAAAAAAAAAATGTGAAAATTTTGGTATTCGATTGAATTCATTCCCAATCCTAGCTGGGACGACTGCTATAAAATACTTTACTTTTTTCATTGAGTTAAGTGAACAATACGAAAACTAAGGATATTTACACACACTTGGTTTAATTCAAATTAACACAAGAAAGAATGTAGTGTGATACATCGAGTTTGAGTAGGAGATAGAAATATTTGATTGATCTGTGTAACTAAACGAAACTACATTAAATAAATAAATAAATTATCATGAGTCTTGTAATACATAAGAAAATTTTTGTTGAATTAATATTTGATTTTCTCAGTATAACTAAAAACACATTTTATATTTCATGCTTAAAATAGATTTATATACCCTTCATCAGTCTGGTGACTAAGTTCACGTTTGCATACTTGAAATAGATCTCTATAACTTTCACTAAGGGGGGGTTAGTCACCTAGAACTTAAAATTAGAACTGGGATAATATGTGGGATAAATTTTTAAGGTGTTAGTCACATAGAACTAAAACTAGAACAAAATTTTACAGTGTTAGTCAAGTAGAACTCTAATAAAACTAGAATTGGGATAATGGTACAAAATTATCCCACTTTTTTCATTTTTCTATACAAAAATGAGAGTTCTAGTCTCTCAAATTATTCCAAGTTTTAGCTTGGAACTAGGTGGTAAAAAACTAGAACTCATATTTATTTTGTTATTTTTTATTTTTTATATTTTTTTATCTTTACTTCTTTCCTATTATGGTTATCACCATTAGACCATCATAATAATAATAATTGTCAATATCTTATAGTCTAACGAAAAGTTATTTAATAGTAAAGAATATTCTTGTAAGCAATTATAAATCAATAATAGTAAGTTTAAAATACATAAATAATATTTATATCTTCAAAATGTATAAATATATATTTCATGATTATAAAAATTTATCCCACGTTATTTTATCAAAATATCCCGCTTCATAAAATTGTTCCTATTTATCCCACTAAAATATCCCACTAGTAAAAAATTATTCCGCTTTAACAATTATCCCAATTTGCATCAAAATATCCCAATTGACTAACACCCCCTAAGAAATAAGTTCACATATTTGACATCGCACAATTAGTGGTTTCCACTACCATTGCTAACGAACTTGCATCTGTCTCTGCCATTTTGTTTTCTTTCAATCTATTTGTTAGTTCATTTCTCGGTTGTAGCTACTGGATGAGGGTGGAATAAATATTATACGAGGAAAGTACGGGAATAAAGATATTAGGGGATTATTATCTCTAAATTGATCACTATTGCCTATTGTGTCTGAAGAAATTTTAATTACAAGCGGTAAGCAATGTAGAAATTTCAATTTTCCATGCATCATTCTAACACCGTTTTCTTATAGGATTCTTCCATAAATTTCAACATTCCATTAATAATAGGCTAAATACCCATATTGTTATTTTAATTCAACCACATTTGCCAAGAAGGTATTTTAAATAAAAAAATCGGCGTTAAGGCATTTTAATTGATTAAAATTACCAATTAGGTCCTTTTTCTCGTCGGCGACCACTTTTCCGGCGAGAACTCGTCACGTGCATTTTAATTCAACCGGTTTTCTGACGTGGCAGTGGCAGGAAGAATAAGAGTCGATGCATTTTAAAATCCCCCATTTCTAAAATTGGTAAAAAAATTAGCGAAAAATTAGTGGAGAAATTACCGTATAATAGAACATCTTTCTCTTGCATCGATCCATGGCCGCGCCGGCGGCAATTTAGTCTGCAGTGATCTTCGTCTTCTCACTCTCTTCTCTCCAAATTCCCATGGCGTTTTCTTCTAGAAGTTCCTGGAATCGGGGGTTTTGGCTGCTTCTGTTAGCGGTAAAGGTAAGATAATTGAGTTGGATCTGAGATCTGGAGTGAATGCGTGAAAGTTTGATCTTTGTTTTGAAATTTTTAGGGTTCAGGTTGGTTCGTTTTGGACTTAAATTGTGATTAAGCCACATCAGCAGCTAAAACCGAGCCACATCAGCAAACCGAGCCACATCATCATCTAAAACACAGATTAAGTCATCACGTGTCACGCACGTGACGAGTTCTCGTCGGAAAAGTGGTCGCCGACGAGAAAAAGGACCTAATTGGTAATTTTAATCAATTAAAATATGTCTTAACGCCGATTTTTTTTTATTTAAAATACCTTCTTGGCAAATATGGTTGAATTAAAATACCAATATGGATATTTAGCCATTAATAATATCTCAACGAATAAAAGTATACTTTTCTTTTTAAAAATCAAATCAAATTGTTTAAAAGTGTATTTTACTTCACCAACCAAACTTCTCTTCGATACCCATCCTGCTCACTGATCGAGTGATCATGTATATTCACCCCTCACGAGTGCCACACGGCACGCTTCCCTCTTACACGAGCCCGACACGCCCGATACAGGATCCCGAAAAACCAGCCTGCGCCTGCGAAACCCACATCAAAACCAAACCCGGCCCACCCGATCCCGTGATCCCTTTCTTCTCCTTGGCCCTTCTCCCCAGGAAAAACAACCTCCTCCTTTCAAGGGCCAGCCATG